GCGGTGGATATGGTGGTGGCTATGGATACGGAAAATAGACGACCATGCAAGATGCTCAGCAAAGGAATATAATATCCAAATACAAATAATTTTTTAATAATAAAATAACGAAAAACATTCACGACTTTATTTCTCACTGGTAGGCCTCCAGATCCTTTTATGTGAGTTTCAATGTAAATATCATAAAATAAATAATATGTTAATCATAAGGTTTAATTCCATCATTAATCTTCGTATTCTGTCCAAAGAAAGAGAGAAGTATAATTATAATATAGTTTCTCACTAGTTTCGAGGAAAGGAGCTAGTTAAACACATCGAGGTTTTCTTAGGCTGATAGACATTCCCCAGAACGCAAAAAACATTTGGCTAACTCATTAGTACATATTTCCGCTAGGTGAACAGAGGCATTATGTGTAAGAATAAGTACCCAAACGTCTTAAAAATTTCCCGCCCGCGAATCGAAGTGGTCCAATCAGTTGGGAGCCGACTGTGTGATCTAATCCACCTCAAGTCAAATTAGAAACAACTTATTTTAATGCAGTTCGTACCTGGATATTTTTCCAAAGTGTTTCCTCTATTGTCAATATTTGGTATATTATCTTGTTTTTATTTCTTTATATAGCTGGCTATGTGTTCCTGCTTGATTTGGAGGTGGGGTTTCTTATATTGCAGGTTTGCGTTACTCTTGGGTTTGGTGGTGGGCTTCATTACATAGCTTGATTCTATTACTGCTGGGTTTTGTGATGGGCTTCCTTATATAGCTGGCTTGCGTTCCTGCTGGGTTTGGATGCGGGCCTGCTTACAAAACTGACTTGCATTTCTGCTTGGTGTAGTGGTGGGCTCCCATACATAGCTGGCTTGTGTTACTGCTGACTTTGGTAGTTGGCTTCCATACCTATCTGTCTTGCGTTACTCCTGGGTTTGAAGGTGGGCGTCCTTACGTAGCTGGCTTGTGTTACGTCTTAGTTTGAAAGTGTGCTTCCTTACATTGTTGATTTGTGTCCATGCTTGGTTAAGTGGTAAGCTTCCTTATAAAGCTGGCTTGTGTTCCTTCGGCGTTTGGAGATGGGCTTTCTTACATTGCTGGCATGTGTTCCTGCTGGATTTGGTGGTGTCCATTCTTACGTAGCTTGCTTGTGTTTCTGCTGGGATTGGTGTTGATATTAAATCCTACCACACTGCTATGGATAGTTAAGGTAGTGACACGTGCTTGCTGAACAACCAACAAGTATACTTTAGCTCTGAAAATTATTGAGAACTAAAGAAAACTCGCCGTGCATATGGACCCCCCCAAAAAAGAGGAGTACCTTTGGGTGTACACAATTTCACATATCTGCTATGTGGGCTTCATCTTCTTGTTTGCTTTTTTGAGCACAAGGAGTATTTTATTTGATTTTACTGTACCTGATGGTGAGCTCTATATCAATAATGATTGTGAAACCTAGACCTGCATTCAGTTGATTTTCTGCCGAGGTCTGTATAAGGTCCGAATTTCTGCTCCTGTTTGTTGATAGTTTCGTCTTTTGTAGCATTGATATGTAAATGTTTCTCCAGAAATAATGATTCTATTGTCATCTACCTTTTAGACATATGATAACATCCATTCTGCTCCATATTAAAAATAATAGCTCTGTTACACTCAACTTTACGAAGGGTCTTAAACTTTTTTCCGCTGAGGGCACCATTAATATTTTAGTCATATATTCGCGATCCCCTTATTTCAGGGTTATTGGTTTCCATCCCATTGTAGGGTCAAGATTTCCTATGAGACCTTCCCAAGGATACAACCTATAACAGTCGTTTAATTGCTGGGAGCCTATTTAATTCTAGGTGAATATTTGCATCAGATGAGAGGAAACCTAATTAATTTTGCTTTAGTTGTTCATAGGACAATGATGGACATGCTGAATGACGAGGCGAAATTAGGTAGGAATTAACTGATAATTGTAAAAATTCGTGAAGGTGACTACTATTGTGATAATTTGGAAACATTTACAGTTATAATAATTAAAGTAGAAATATGATTATTAGAGGTTGAAAGATAATGGATCGAGAAAATATAGAACTACAAAATTATTTAACTCAAAGGACGTGAATGACATCAAGCAGAAACTGAGGCAGTAATTGTGAAATATTTAACATTATACTAAGTAGATATTCCAAGGATTTTGAGATGTAATTTTTACTAATATATTTAAGCATTATTCGTGCACATAAACTGGGGCTCAAATAATCAAGTATGCAATTGTTTTGATTAAAGTATATAAATAGTTTAAGAGACATAATATTTTGTTTTGTAAAAATGAAATGACAAAATAGAACGCAAACAATGGATTCAAAATTTATAATTTTAGAATCAGGAAAGACCGAGATAAATAAAAGTTTGCAAATTGGATAGTTGATTTGTGGAACAAATTACCTGTTAACATAATAGCCGGGGATCACTTGACAGTTTCGATCACAATTAGACTTTTATAAGAATGAATTTATGTAAATATAAATAGAAAGTGCCCCGAGTAGACAAATAGGTGTATGGAGTTATACTAATTTTTATGTTCTTATATTTTAATACCAGTAGGCTCAATAATACCCATAGGTTCAAATTATGTGTAAATTGAGACAACTAATGCTCTAAATGAGTTTATAGACGAAGAACAAAATGAACAAATTAGTATAACTCTTATACAAACCCGCAGAAAAAACAATCCAGTTAATTATTTCATTGATACATCACATTAATGTGACTGCTTGGTGCACTTGAGGGGAGCGTTGGTGGGAGCACTTAACACTAGAGTGCATGTGGGTAAGATGTGAAACTTTGAATTGGAATCGGCTCGATTCCTCAAAACCCTTTGAGGATTCAGTTGAATTTAAGGTCATTTTGTTCATAGAGCATCGTGGCCTAGTGGTTTAAAGCGTGCACTTTTGGGTACCTCGGTTACATGATCGAAGCCACCGTACAGCTCCAAATCATGTTCTCGATATTAATAGTAGTAGTAAACATTATTATAATAGAATCAATAATTTTAAATTCCTGTCGACTTGATACAAATACAAAATATATGAAATACCTTTGAATTGTTTTGTCTGTTTAATGGGATTGTGTTTATACCTGATCCAGTTCTAGGGTCCCTGGAAGTATTTGATTTGGTTCCTTTAGTACTGGTAGTTGTTATTGTATTGAAGTTGATAGTTGCAGTAGCGATTTGTGAAGTAGCTGTTGTGACCTTGGACTGTGTACGGCTACTGTTGTCAGCTGCAACATCTTTCCTTCCTCCTGCTTTTATTGCCTACGCTTTTTCTAAACGAAATATTTATATACGTTTTTATATTCACTTAATATCTAATTTCTTCTGTTCTGTCTGTAACATTCTGTGCCTTTTACAGGAGATTCTGAACATCTTTAACCGAAGCAGTTTTCAACGTCTAGTGGGAAGGCTGGCCACAGGCTGGCGTTGGGGAGTATAGGAACTCCCGAACCCTTATCCAGGTAAGATCCTGGTAGTGAGGTTACCATTATACGCTCAGAGCCAGGGTGGTATTGTTTGCTTCATCCCATTTGACAGCTCTAATGTCACTGTCACATTCACTGCCTCTCGTGTCAATCCCTTTCATTGCCTCTGGTTTCACTGTAATCTTACTATCTCTGGTTTCACTGTAAGCTTCACTGCCTCTGGTGTTCACTAGAACACATCACCTTCACTGCCTCTGGTTTCAATGTCACATTCTCGGGCTCTTGTGTCACAATCCATATCACTAGTGTCACAATTGAACTCTGGGATCTTAATTGTATTAAAAGGCTCTATCCACTATCGCTTTCACTTGCACTGAATTCATCTTCACATTAACAGGCAATGAAGTAACTTCAAATTTTCTGACACTATTGTCATTATCACATTCAATGATTTAATATTACTATATACGGTCTTAGTGTCGCAATTAATTTTCTGAAGCCTGAAATTATTATCACATAACAAATATTATGGACTGATATCTGGTGTCTCTCTCATACACCCAAAGGCTAATGCTGCTCTGAAATAATCAAAGTGTGGTGTCACTATCAGAGACTTAGATGTTATATATTATTTAGTAATTCTGGAGGAAATACATGAACTAGTTCAGCTTTCAGATTAAGAGTGGGATGGGAGTGAGGATATTTTTGTACCGCTTCTATCCACTGGTTTAGAGTATAAGCCACTCCCCGACACGTCCTTTCCCCTCGACTCCACATCACCCCCACCATGGATAATTCAGGGACCCGAGACTGCTACCTGGAACCACCAGTAGCCAAGCTCAACACACACAACTAATAATGTTGAAGCAAATACATAATAAATGTCATCGTACGTGCTATATATGGAGTAAAGAGAATAGAATGTAATAATTTCGGTAATAAAGCAGTTAGTAAAAGTCAATAGAAATTCCGGCTTAAATCTTGTGAATATTGAGGCGACAATCTTGCTTCTGAAACGGAAAATTTTCTTGAGTAATATCACTTGTTCTGGAGAGAGTTGCCAGTTTTGTCTGAGAGTGGCCAGGGTATATAAAGGTTGGTGTCGGAGGACTTACTATTCAGTTTACTGCAGCTGACCAATACGCCAACATGGTGAGGCTCTCTCATACTGGATATATTACTGGAGCCTATTATAATCCGTGCTTGCATTTTTATGCTCCTAAGGGAGCATAAAAATGATCCCTTAGGAGAATAAAAATACTTATGCTTAAGAGCATAAAAATAAAAATAGGAGCATACGCCGAGGGGTGTACCCTATTTATCGGTGTATATAAAATTACTGATTAACCCATTCCTAGATTGTGTTCACGGCTTCCAGAAGGCTAATGTGATGGATTAATGACCCGCCAGACACTAGAGACTGTTAAGCCTTCTGCCTAATACAAAGCCAAACCAATGTTGAGGGTTTGAATTAATAAATGTTATTATAATTTGATTTACAGAATGAATACATTATTTTTTTCTGTCATGCTACTTTCAGAAACTCCTGTTGACACTGTTGCTGGTCGCCATGTTGGCTACCTTGAGCCAGGCTGGTGGACACGTAGGCTTTGTTGGAGGTCACGGTGGTGGATATGGAGGTGGATATGGTGGTGGATACGGCGGTGGATATGGTGGTGGCTACGGAGGTGGATATGGAAGAGGATACGGAGGAGGATACGGTGTTGGTGGTGTATCAAACAGCATCTATAACATCGCAGGTCCCAGACATGGTGGATACAGTTATGGCGGACACGGAGGCTATGGTGGCGGCCATGGAGGTTATGGTGGAGGCTATGGTGGTGGCTATGGCGGTGGCTATGGCGGTGGCTATGGGGGTGGCGGTGGATATGGTGGTGGCTATGGATACGGGAAATAGACGACCATGCAAGATGCTCAGCAAAGGAATATAATATCCAAATACAAATAATTTTTTAATAATAAAATAACGAAAAACATTCACGACTTTATTTCTCACTGGTAGGCCTCCAGGTCCTTTTATGTGAGTTTCAATGTAAATATCATAAAATAAATAATATGTTAATCATAAGGTTTAATTCCATCATTAATCTTCGTATTCTGTCCAAAGAAAGAGAGAAGTATAATTATAATATAGTTTCTCACTAGTTTCGAGGAAAGGAGCTAGTTAAACACATCGAGGTTTTCTTAGGCTGATAGACATTCCCCAGAACGCAAAAAACATTTGGCTAACTCATTAGTACATATTTCCGTAAGGGTGAACAGAGGCATTATGTGTAAGAATAAGTACCCAAACGTCTTAAAAATTTCTTGCCCGCGAATCGAAGTGGTCCAATCAGTTGGGAGCCGACTGTGTGATCTAATCCACCTCAAGTCAAATTAGAAACAATTTTTTTTAATGCAGTTCGTACCTGGATATTTTTCCAAAGTGTTTCCTCTATTGTCAATATTTGGTATATTATCTTGTTTTTATTTCTTTATATAGCTGGCTATGTGTTCCTGCTTGATTTGGAGGTGGGGTTTCTTATATTGCAGGTTTGCGTTACTCTTGGGTTTGGTGGTGGACTTCATTACATAGCTTGATTCTATTACTGCTGGGTTTTTTGATGGGCTTTCTTATATAGCTGGCTTGCGTTACTGCTGGGTTTGGATGCGGGCCAGCTTACAAAACTGACTTGCATTTCTGCTTGGTGTAGTGGTGGGCTCCCATACATAGCTGGCTTGTGTTACTGCTGACTTTGGTAGTTGGCTTCCATACCTATCTGTCTTGCGTTACTCCTGGGTTTGAATGTGGGCGTCCTTACGTAGCTGGCTTGTGTTACGTCTTAGTTTGAAAGTGTGCTTCCTTACATTGTTGATTTGTGTCCATGCTTGGTTAAGTGGTAAGCTTCCTTATAAAGCTGGCTTGTGTTCCTTCGGCGTTTGGAGATGGGCTTTCTTACATTGCTGGCATGTGTTCCTGCTGGATTTGGTGATGTCCTTCCTTACGTCGCTGGCTTGTGTTTCTGCTGGGATTGGTGTTGATATTAAATTCTACCCAACTCCTGTGGATAGTTAAGGTAGTGACACGATGCTTACTGAACAACCAACAAGTATACTTTAGTTCTGAAAATTATTGAAACTAAAGAAAACTCGCCGTGCATATGGACCCCCCAAAAAAAGAGGAGTACCTTTGGGTGTACACAATTTCACATATCTGCTATGTTGGCTTCATCTTCTTGTTTGCTTTTTTGAGCACAAGGAGTATTTTATTTGACTTTACTGTACCTGATGGTGAGTTCTGTATCAATAATGATTGTGAAACCTTGACCTGCATTCAGTTGATTCTCTGCTGAGGTCTGTATAAGGTCCGAATTTCTGCTCCTGTTTGTTGATAGTTTCGTCTTTTGTAGCACTGATATGTAAATGTTTCTCCAGAAATAATAATTCTATTGTCATCTACCTTTTAGACATATGTTAACATCCATTCTGCTCCATATTAAATATAATAGCTCTGTTACACTCAACTTTACTAAGGGTCTTAAAATTTTTTTGCTGAGGGCACCATTAATATTTTAGTCATATATTCGCGATCCCCTTATTTCAGGGTTATTGGTTTCCATCCCATTGTAGGGTCAAGATTTCCCATGAGACCTTCCCAAGGAGCTGGCTTGGGAAGGTCTGTATCCACCTATAACAGTCGTTTAATTCCTGGGAGCCTATTTAATTCTAGGTGAACATATGTATCAGGTGAGAGGAAACCTAATTAATTTTGCTTTAGTTGTTCATAGGACAATGATGGACATGCTGAATGACGAGGCCAAAGTAGGTAGAAATTAAATGATAATTGTAAAAATTCGTAAAGGTGATTACAACTGTGATAATTTGGAAACATTTACAGTTATAATTAAAGTAGAATTATTATTATTAGAGGTTGAAAGATAATTTATCGAGTAAATATAGAACTACAAAATTATTTAACTCAAAGGACGTGAATGACATCAAGCAGAAACTGAGGCAGTAATTGTGAAATATTTAACTTTATACTAAATAGATATTCCAAGGATTTTGAGATGTAATTTTTACTAATATATTTAAGCATTATTCGTGCACATAAACTGGGCTCAAATAATCAAGTATGCAATTGTTTTGATTAAAGTATATAAATAGTTTAAGAGACATAATATTTTGTTTTGTAAAAATGAAATGACAAAATAGAACGCAAACAATGGATTCAAAATTTATAATTTTAGAATCAGGAAAGACCTGGATAAATAAAAGTTTGCAAATTGGATAGTTGATTTGTGGAACAAATTACCTGTTAACATAATAGCCGGGGATCACTTGACAGTTTCGATCACAATTACACTTATATAAGAATGAATTTATGTAAATATAAATAGAAAGTGCCCCGAGTAGACAAACAGGTGTATGGAGTTATACTAATTTTTATGTTCTTATATTTTAATACCAGTAGGCTCAATAATACCCATAGGTTCAAATTATGTGTAAATTGAGACAACTAATGCTCTAAATGAGTTTATAGACGAAGAACAAAATGAACAAATTAGTATAACTCTTATACAAACCCGCAGAAAAAACAATCCAGTTAATTATTTCATTGATACATCACATTAATGTGACTGCTTGGTGCACTTGAGGGGAGCGTTGGTGGGAGCATTTAACACTAGAGTGCATGTGGGTAAGATGTAAAAATTTGAATTGGAATCGAATCGATTCCTCAAAACCCTTTGAGGATTCAGTTGAATTTAAGGTTATGTTGTTCATAAAGCATCGTGGCTTAGTGGTTTAAAGCGTGCACTTTTGGGTACCTCGGTTACATGATCGAAGCCACCGTACAGCTCCAAATCATGTTCTCGATATTAATAGTAGTAGTAAACATTATTATAATAGAATCAATAATTTTAAATTCCTGTCGACTTGATACAAATACAAAATATATGCAATACCTTTGAATTGTTTTGTCTGTTTAATGGGATTGTGTTTATACCTGATCCAGTTCTAGGGTCCCTGGAAGTATTTGATTTGGTTCCTTTAGTACTGGTAGTTGTTATTGTATTGAAGTTGATAGTTGCAGTAGCGATTTGTGAAGTAGCTGTTGTGACCTTGGACTGTGTACGGCTACTGTTGTCAGCTGCAACATCTTTCCTTCCTCCTGCTTTTATTGCCTACGCTTTTTCTAAACGAAATAATTATATACGTTTTTATATTCACTTAATATCTAATTTCTTCTGTTCTGTCTGTAACATTCTGTGCCTTTTACAGGAGATTCTGAACATCTTTATCCGAAGCAGTTTTGAACGTCTAGTGGGAAGGCTGGCCACAGGCTGGCGTTGGGGGAGTATAGGAACTCCCGAATTCTTATCCAGGTAATATCCTATTGAAGCAAATACATAATAAATGTCATCGTACGTGCTACATATGGAGTAAAGAGAATAGAATGTAATAATTTCGGTAATAAAGCAGTTAGTAAAAGTCAACAGAAATTCCGGCTTAAATCTTGTGAGCACTGAGGCGACAATCTTGCTTCTGAAACAGGAAATTTTCTTGAGTAATATCACTTGTTCTGGAGAGTTGCCAGTTTTGGCTGAGAGTGGCAAGGGTATATAAAGGTCGGTGTCGGAGGACTTACTACTCAGTTTACTGCAGCTGACCAATAGACCAACATGGTGAGGCTCTCTCATACTGGATATATTACTGGAGCCTATTATAATCCGTTCTTGCATTTTTATGCTCCTAAGGGAGCATAAAAATGCTCCCTTAGGAGAATAAAAATACTTATGCTTAGAGCATAAAAATAAAATAGGAGCATACGCCGAGGGGTGTACCCTATTTATCGGTGTATATTAATTTACTAATTAACCTATTCCTAGATTGTGTTCAAGGCTTCCAGAAGGCTAATGTGGTGGATTAATGACCCGCCAGACACTAGAGACTGTTAAGCCTTCTGCCTAATACAAAGCCAAACCAATGTTGAGGGTTTGAATTAATAAATGTTATTATATGGTGGTGGCTACGGAGGTGGATATGGAAGAGGATACGGAGGAGGATACGGTGTTGGTGGTGTATCAAACAGCATCTATAACATCGCAGGTCCCAGACATGGTGGATACAGTTATGGCGGCCACGGAGGATATGGTGGCGGCCATGGAGGCTATGGTGGAGGCTATGGCGGTGGCTATGGCGGTGGCTATGGCGGTGGCTATGGAGGTGGCTATAGTGGTGGCTATGGTGGTGGCTATGGCGGTGGCTATGGCGGTGGCTATGGATACGGAAAATAGACGACCAGCAAGGGAATATAATATCCAAATAAAATTAAATTGTTGATAATAAAATAACGAATTACATTCACGAGTTTATTTTTCACTGGTAAACTTGCAGATCATATTATGTGAATTTTAATGTATATCTTAAATTAAATAATATATCTATCTACACATATAATTCCATTATTAAGCTTCATATTCTGTCCAAGGAACGAGAGAAGTATGATTACAATATAATTTCTCACTATTGTCGAGGAAAGTAGCCAGTTTGGCACATCAAGGTCTTCTTAGGCTGACTGACATTCCCCAGAATGCAAAGGACAACATTTGGCTAACTCAGTAGTATATATTTCTGCTAGGTGAACAGGGACATCATGTGTAAGAATAAGAACCCAAACGTCTTGCCTTCCTGCCCGCGAATCGAACTGTGGTCCAATCGGTTGGGAGCCGATTGAGCAATCTACTTCACTTCAAATTAAAATAAAAACTCAGAATTTAAATTAAATCCTCATCTATTCTAGCTGGGTGAAAGAATATTGATAGACATGACGAAATGGAGAGAGCAAGGAAAGTAGGATAGGATTAAATTATAAAAACGTAAAACAGTGGAGGTGACCATAATTTTGGTGATGTGGATATAATTGCAGTTTTGATAAATTAGAAATTATAAAATAAAATGTTCAGAATATATGACAGAAAAAATACATCAGCAATTGTGAAATAATTGAATATTATGCAGAAATTGCTAGGGTTTTTATTTTTTTTATACACAATATTTATGCATTACTGCACATTATGTTTTCCTTCCCTAAATCTATGGCCTTGTGACCACGGCACAATTGTAACTATGTTAAATGAAATACGATGTTGGAAATTAGTCTCTAACATAGATCTTAGAGCATTTATACATGATATATATATATATATATATATATATATATATATATATATATATATATATATATATATATATATATATATATATATATATATATATATATATATATATATATATATATATATATATATATATATATATATATATATATAACTGAAAACTCACACCCCAGAAGTGACTTGAACCCATACTGCCAGGAGCAACGCAACTGGTATGTACAGGGACGCCTTAATCCGCTTGACCATCACGACCGGACAAAAGGAAGTGATAGCCGAAGCTATTTGAACCACTTCCCCGCCGGCACTCGGATGGTAATCTTGGGCATAGCATTTTATCAAATCACCTCATTCTTTGGGGAACACGTGAGGAACACAAATGCAAACAAGCCTGAATGGTCCCCAGGACTATATACAACTGAAAACTCACACCCCAGAAGTGACTCGAACCCATACTGCCAGGAGCAACGCAACTGGTATGTACAGGGACGCCTTAATCCGCTTGACCATCACGACCGGACAAAAGGAAGTGATAGCCGAAGCTATTTGAACCACTTCCCCGCCGGCACTCGGATGGTAATCTTGGGCATAGCATTTTATCAAATCACCTCATTCTTTGGGGAACACGTGAGGAACACAAATGCAAACAAGCCTGAATGGTCCCCAGGACTATATACAACTGAAAAATCACACCCCAGAAGTGACTCGAACCCATACTGCCAGGAGCAACGCAACTGGAATGTACAGGGACGCCTTAATCCGCTTGACCATCACGACCGGACAAAAGGAAGTGATAGCCGAAGCTATTTGAACCACTTCCCCGCCGGCACTCGGATGGTAATCTTGGGCATAGCATTTTATCAAATCACCTCATTCTTTGGGGAACACGTGAGGAACACAAATGCAAACAAGCCTGAATGGTCCCCAAGACTATATACAACTGAAAACTCACACCCCAGAAGTGACTCGAACCCATACTGCCAGGAGCAACGCAACTGGTATGTACAGGGACGCCTTAATCCGCTTGACCATCACGACCGGACAAAAGGAAGTGATAGCCGAAGCTATTTGAACCACTTCCCCGCCGGCACTCGGATGGTAATCTTGGGCATAGCATTTTATCAAATCACCTCATTCTTTGGGGAACACGTGAGGAACACAAATGCAAACAAGCCTGAATGGTCCCCAGGACTATATACAACTGAAAACTCACACCCCAGAAGTGACTCGAACCCATACTGCCAGGAGCAACGCAACTGGTATGTACAGGGACGCCTTAATCCGCTTGACCATCACGACCGGACAAAAGGAAGTGATAGCCGAAGCTATTTGAACCACTTCCCCGCCGGCACTCGGATGGTAATCTTGGGCATAGCATTTTATCAAATCACCTCATTCTTTGGGGAACACGTGAGGAACACAAATGCAAACAAGCCTGAATGGTCCCCAGGACTATATACAACTGAAAACTCACACCCCAGAAGTGACTCGAACCCATACTGCCAGGAGCAACGCAACTGGTATGTACAGGGACGCCTTAATCCGCTTGACCATCACGACCGGACAAAAGGAAGTGATAGCCGAAGCTATTTGAACCACTTCCCCGCCGGCACTCGGATGGTAATCTTGGGCATAGCATTTTATCAAATCACCTCATTCTTTGGGGAACACGTGAGGAACACAAATGCAAACAAGCCTGAATGGTCCCCAGGACTATATACAACTGAAAAATCCCACCCCAGAAGTGACTCGAACCCATACTGCCAGGAGCAACGCAACTGGTATGTACAGGGACGCCTTAATCCGCTTGACCATCACGACCGGACAAAAGGAAGTGATAGCCGAAGCTATTTGAACCACTTCCCCGCCGGCACTCGGATGGTAATCTTGGGCATAGCATTTTATCAAATCACCTCATTCTTTGGGGAACACGTGAGGAACACAAATGCAAACAAGCCTGAATGGTCCCCAAGACTATATACAACTGAAAACTCACACCCCAGAAGTGACTCGAACCCATACTGCCAGGAGCAACGCAACTGGTATGTACAGGGACGCCTTAATCCACTTGACCATCACGACCGGACAAAAGGAAGTGATAGCCGAAGCTATTTGAACCACTTCCCCGCCAGCACTCGGATGGTAATCTTGGGCATAGCATTTTATCAAATCACCTCATTCTTTGGGGAACACGTGAGGAACACAAATGCAAACAAGCCTGAATGGTCCCCAGGACTATATACAACTGAAAACTCACACCCCAGAAGTGACTCGAACCCATACTGCCAGGAGCAACGCAACTGGTATGTACAGGGACGCCTTAATCCGCTTGACCATCACGACCGGACAAAAGGAAGTGATAGCCGAAGCTATTTGAACCACTTCCCTGCCGGCACTTATCCGAGTGCCGGCGGGGAAGTGGTTCAAATAGCTTCGGCTATCACTTCCTTTTGTCCGGTCGTGATGGTCAAGCGGATTAAGGCGTCCCTGTACATACCAGTTGCGTTGCTCCTGGCAGTATGGGTTCGAGTCACTTCTGGGGTGTGAGTTTTCAGTTGTATATAGTCTTGGGGACCATTCAGGCTTGTTTGCATTTGTGTTCCTCACGTGTTCCCCAAAGAATGAGGTGATTTGATAAAATATATATATATATATATATATATATATATATATATATATATATATATATATATATATATATATATATATATATATATATATATATATATATATATATATATGTCGTACCTAGTAGCCAGAACGCACTTCTCTGCCTACTATGCAAGGCCCGATTTGACCACCACATCAATGATCGTCTATTAGGATTGGTCAGGCCTGGTGCTTATTAACTAAGCTGATCAACCCCCCGACGACACTCATGGATCCATTTGGGTACAGTTTTTCATCAAATTCTGGCACATGCACGGATCGCGCTGAGTTTTGCAAATGTGAGAGAGATGAGTTTTCTCAAATGTGAGAACATGTATATATCGTTATATCGTTGAAAACAACAGAAAATTTTAGATTTATGATTCTGGCACGAATCTCCACGATATTCCTTATGCTTTTCTTCACTAAAGCAGGAAGTTAACAAAATAAACTGTCCAAAGTTCATTTTTACTTTTTATTGGGTCTGATGCCTAGTGATTCTTTCTTTATTATGCACCCCATACCCATCCCGTGGGCGGTTGTGGAAAGGATTACAGAGGCATATAATGGGTTCATGAACTGAACCCCAGAGTTCGTGTAACAAAGCAAATGACAATCTTTTGTAGCTAGTTACACAATTGTTAATGTTGTATTCTCATGTACATATGTATTCAATCACTTACACAAATACACAGACATATCAATAATCTTTTTATATCACAAGTGATTCAAGAAGAGGCTCATAACTGTCACTATACATCGCACTTTACATCAATGGTGAGTCACACAGTTACTAGTCTTGCTCCACACCAACGCAACTGGGCGGTAGCTTTACAGTCATGTGCAGGCTGCACCTACAGTTAGCAAATTTTGAATAATTAGCTAGGATTCCCGTCAGCACATCATCATGAATGAAGTACTTATACCTAACTTGGACACCATTGATAGTGTTATCTTTGAATTCCGCGATTTTTTTTTTCACTTTCCATTATATAATGACACAAAGTATGCGAATAGTTCTGTTGGCAGAGTTTACATTTAGTCAAATCTACATCAGCAGATGTTGCAAACTCCCAGAGGTACTTGTAGCCGAGCCTAAGCCTAGCAGTGGTATCATTTAGAAGTCTGTTAATCATATTGGATGACCCATAGACGTGTGGTTCTTCCTGCGTGATGATTGATGGAGTAACTGGTGTGTATTTCACTATACCTCAAGTCTACGAGATTTTGTTGATGTTTCTGGAATAAAACTCCATCAGGCTGCTCGTAGGCAGTTCAAGATGGTAATCAATTCCCTCTTTATGAATAAAAAATGTGTAAGCTGGTCAGAATTACATTTCACCTTCGTAATCGCATAATAATGACACTATGTAAAAGATACCGCGAACACTGTTTATGTTGGACAGACGTAAATTTGTGTATATAAGTAAATAGGTTAGATTAGCCTTTTAAAAGCATAACAATCACCTGTGGTTGACTCTTCAATAAATTACTGAACTAAATGTTTAACAGATTTAGTTCAGTAAATAGTTCAGTTCCTCCACCCTGTCCATCGATGACAGAAAAAATGTATATGCTGGTTACCATTGTAAATGTGTGACCACGTCTGTGGTAGAACATAATAAAAATAAAAAATAGCAATAACAATAAAATAAAATAATAAATAAAGCTGAATTGTTACTAAGGCCAGCATTCCTCCAGAGAGTTGCTAAGCCTAGCAACCATGGCAGGGCTACTAAAGTCTATTATGTTTTTTTATGCTAATTGACCAACCAGAAAATGAAATTGAGTTTTAGTTATGAATGGAAATAAAGTAAAGGCGTATTGAAAAGAGATTTACATCATTCTCATCGAAAGAAAAAAATTCAAAATTTTATTATAAGCTTTATTTTTTCTAATGTACATTCTTAAATTAAAAAGGTATGCATTTGCAACCTCCCTCCCTCCCCCCACCCCACTTTTTCCCTCAGGCCAGCGTGCGAAAGGCATCGCTGATAATGCAATAGTTTTGATGCAAGTGATTCACTTAAATTTGCATTCCTTGCGTCAGCAAGATGTTGTTTACTTGCCATATACTCCATTTCCTCCACCACCATGGCCACCACCGTGGCCACCGCCACCGTGGAGACTGCCACCGTGGGCACCACCGTGGGCACCACCACTGTGGAGACTGCCACCGTGGGCACCACCACCGTGGGCACCACCACCGTGGGCACCGCCACCGTGGGCACCGCCATCATTGCCATCTCCACCAGCACCATAAATCACTGTTACTACACCAGGACCATCATCGTGACCACCACCACTGTGGGCACCACCGTGACTACCGCCCCCGTGGGCGCCGCCGAGGACAGCACCACCGTGACTACCACCCCCGTGGGCGCCGCCGAGGACAGCACCACCGTGACTACCACCCCCGTGGGCACCGCCGAGGACAGCACCACCGTGACTACCACCCCCGTGGACAGCACCACCGTGACCACCACCTTGTCCACCTCCGAGACCAGCGAAGTGGCCTATTCCTTGTCCCCCTGAGTATTCTGCACCGTGTCCACCTCCGAAGCCCCCGCCGTGTCCACCTCCAAAATCACCGCCGTGTCCACCTCCAAAGCCCCCGCCGTGTCCACCTCCAAATCCACCGCCGTGTCCACCTCCAAAGTCAGCGAAGTGACCTATTCCTTGTCCCCCTGAATAACTTCCGCCGTCTCCACCTCCAAAGCCACCACTAAGCGCTCCTCCGTGTCCACCTCCAAAGCCGCCACTCAGCCCTCCTCCGTGGCCACCTCCGAAGCCTCCACCGTGTCCTCCGCCGTGACTTTGACCATGACTCAAGGCAGCAAGAAGACCGACGCCAACCACAGTCAAGATAATCTTCTGAAAATAAACAAATAAATATTAACAATTTTAAGATCTAAACAAGTAAACTACAAAATATTATACGATTAAAACACCTGAATTTAGTTTTTTCTTCTTTCAATAGTTAATGACTTGTCTCATGACGCAACTTTCCCCCCAAAAGCCTGTGAGTGGGAGTCACCATTGTCGTGTGCGCTGCTCGGCTGACACCAGAGAAGTGAACACCAAACTTACCACCTGATCTTTTATACTCCTTTCTCTCCGGTGTCGGAATACTTGGTCCGAAAAGTGAAATGGTTAACAATAACCTTGTACAAAAAAATATGTGTATGTATGCACTAATGACCTTTGTTTTGGTTCAAAATATTTTCCAGCTAAATATTTTCAACAAAATAATCAATAAACATTTAACTCGGGGAAGTGTTAATATATATTTTTGGAAGTTTGCCGTTGCAAAGCACGTCGTACATATTATAATGATATATGCAGTGAGAAAATTTGTGCAAAGAATGTGCTATTTTACCATATTTCTTTGGGTTTGAAAATATTGTCAAGGCCTTGAAACTTTTTTATATACATGTATTATTTAACTACGAAAATATTGTTGGTAAACTATTAGTTAGAAAAAGTCCTCGTAGTGATAATTGTGTCATTTATAAAATACATTGTAAAAACTGTAATAGGTTAAAGAACAAATCCACAAGGGCCGTCTATTAATACTCTTATATCAACATTTTATTTCACCTAAATATCGCAAGGATTAAACGTTTTCATTCATATTGCTTAGACTATGTTACTCCCGTATATAATAAAGATTACTTTATTAAATAGGATAAACTATTTAATAAAGTTTATTTGGTTAAATACTGGAGTAACTGGAGGAAACAAAGTTTAATTTATTAAATCATTGAGAGCTCCGACGATTTGTTTTCATTCTTATTTAGAATTTGTTGGAGATTTTTCATTCGTATTTTTTATTATAGTTAATTATGTAGTTAAATTATTGTCATTCTCTAAAAGGCATCATATATACTGTCATATATCAAGGGGCATATTAGCAAAATATGCAATAAATGAAAACTGGTTCGATTACAATCAAACTTTTTTGACTAGTTTATGAAATTCGCTTCAACTGGTCCAAGTCTCGGCATCGTAACATAAATAAATATAGGAAGGAATATATAAAAAAAAATTTAATTATGTGTCAACAATTTTCCAAAATGTTCAAAAATTAACGTCAAACACAAGTGTCAACTGAAATCATGTCTATGACTCTCAGCTATCACAATAGCATATAATAAAAATAAAAATAAATATAAGTTTTATAAAAAAAAATTGAGTTAAAAATTAGATTTTTTTCAATTTTTGTTTTCTCATTTGTTTATCGTGCGATTTCCATGAAACTTATACACCTGACTACACGTAATCCTTTCTGTTGGTGTGCCAGGTTTGGAGGAAATTGGATGATGTCAATCTCAGCCTCAGATGGCAACAACTTTGACTTCATTTCTTCATTACTTTCTTTAAAGTAACATAAACGTAACTACTCCTCTTTCATTTTTTTATTAAATTTACATGAAACTTACACCTTATATGTAGAATTTATGTCTCTAAAATCTATATGGAGCGATTTTTCCTAAGTTCATTTACTGATTTTATAAATAGTAATAAACATATTTGCATAATTTTTTTTTTTGGGGGGGAGGGGATCTTTGACTATTTGTATTAGTCAAACTGAACATATGTTGGAAAATTCAGTCATACAGATCCTTTATTATATGCTAATGTGATAGAAGGGTGTCATAGAAATGATTTAATTTGAAACGTGTGGTTGTAGTAAATTGTTGAAAATGTGTAAAATTAGTTGAAAAAAATATCCCTTTCTATTTAGTCTGTGATACTGAAACTTCAAATAATTGCAGCCCCTTTCATATACAACTAACCAAAAAGGTTAGTTTGACAATGAACAACTTTTAATATTCGCCAATATGCCCCTTAAATTTATATCAATTTAAAATCTAACAATTCTTCGATTAAGACATTAGGATTAGAAAGTTATGCAATTGTCTTTAACTATTCATGTTAGAAATGCTTCAGGTCTGCAAAGTTGGAAATATTTACGTCTAAATAGGTCTGTGCTTTACATAACTTTCAAGATGTTTAGGAGTGCCATGGACTTATCTAAAGGCCTTAGTTACGAGATATGGCAGCACATGTTGATTTGAAGAAAATATATTGTACTTGACTAACTGTTGTTCATTAAGCCTCCAACGCAGAAGAATGTGACTGGTTTGTGTGTATATAATAAAGTCAAGACAATGTATTTTAACTTATCTAAAACTCTCCCTCCCCTCACGAACAACACACTAAACAAGGATTACATTATGTAACTGTATGACTGAAGTTTCTTTTGCACGAACAAAGAAATTTCGACGGTCAAATTACTTCAAATATGCAATGTTGTAAAACTTACCTTGACAGGTGGTAAGCTAAATTTATACAATTTATACCCATTGTTACGAGTTTTATTAAGTGTTGATACTTTTAATACCCTACTAATATCCCCTTTGTTATGTCCATTTATAAGAACATAGGAATGAAGATAACTGCAGAAGGCCTATTGACCCATATGAGGCCGCTCCTATTTATATCCACCCAATCCCATTCGTTTGTCTAACCTACGCTTGAAACAATCAAGGAACCCTAATTCTATTATGTTACGCATTTAATCAATTCAAACATCATATAATAAAAGGCGAGTGACAAAATATATCATTAAATTAATTTCAAGCAAAATATCTATAAATTAAAAAAAACAAAACACGTACAATTACAATCTTAAAATCCTTGTAACGTTAGTAAAATAAACGAGATATAAAACTTTAGTTTTATGAACAAAAACGTGAAGAAAATAGGAAACACAAAAAAGCCACACTCTGTGCAGCGGCGGCCAACCAGACCAACGCAACTCATGCGTACACCGACCAACGCAAATCATGCGTTCACAACCCGACCAACGCCACATGCGTACACAACCCAAGCACAGCCGCATGCATACACAACCCGACCAACGCCGCATGCGTACACAACCAACCACTGCCGCATGCGTACACAACCCAACCAATGCCACATGCGTACACAAACCAACCAATGCCGCATGCGTACACAACCCAACCAATGCCACTCATGCGCACACAAATAATAACAAGTATTAATTATAATGCAATAACTATCAATAATAACAATTCAAATAAATAATTCAATTAGCAATTACATTAAAAAATATCCTAAGTTTTAATAAATAAATATGTCAACATCAGTAATAGAACGATTAAGAGTTTCTTTGCGTATTCATGTCAATCCCTTCCCCCCCCAAAAAAAAAAGAAATACTTAGATGAGTAAATACATAAGTAAATACATAAATATACATAAGTATGTATAGTATGTATAAGTATGCATTAAAACTAGAGGTGGAGTTAAATTCCGTTTGTTTTTTTATCTTCAAGCATTGTTGAAAGGGTTCAGAGCTAGTGTATGTGTGGCTGTCTTATAGGCAGTACTAAGGCTAATGTTTTTTACTATACTTATGATCTAGTTCTACTCCCACCCATCCAAGAGGCTATGATAAATTTTATAGGAATATGAGAACGATATAGTGCAAAATACAACCTATCATTCAATCCAGCAGTATGTGCTGTGGTTGCATTAAACTCACTGGATTCGTTTTATTGCGATCCCAATCTAAAATGACTGAGCAGATAATATAATTCTAGTAAAATATTCTGAAAATCATCTGGGCCAAAATATAACCTCAAAGGGCCAACTTGTTCAATCCTGCCAAATGTAGTTTGGTTTATTCTAACTCGCAGAACTCGTTTTTTTCAAGAAACCGGTCTATAATTACTCGGCAGAGATCTTCCAGTAAAATATTCTGAAAATCATCTGGGCCATAATGTAACCTCAAGGGGTCAACTTGTCAATTTTTCTGATGCAGTTAGAGACCTGAAGGTCAAAACAAATGTCATCAGTAGTGAATTTCATCCTCTTGATACCTGGTCGGAAATAAAGTTACTTAACAGATAAAGTCTAAGCCTGTATGGATGTGAACTATGAGACCTGTAAAATGATGACATTGTCAAGCTTAATTGTGAATGAAGGAAACACTGGAATCTAGTCGTATTATGAGTGTCCATCCTCACACTCATTGTAATCTACCTGGCTTCATGTCCACACTCACAGTTGAGTAAAAAATTCTCAAAAGAAAAACATAATTTTGCCTGAAAGAACTCACCCATCTCTTCAACACAATCAACTTTTTTACTCATTTTTTGGGGGCCATTCACTTATCACTGGCCATAACTAATTTTCTCCAAAAATATAAACTTATTCGTTGAGCATTGTGAGCTAAGCACACAGCCTCGCAGCCAAGTGGATAATGCTCTAGAGTCGTAGTTCTAAGAACCCTGGTTCGATTCCCAGCCTAGGAAGAAACAAATGGTTAGGGTTTCTCTCACTTAATGCATCTGTTCCAATAACAGTATATAGGTACCTGGGAGTTAGTCAGCGGTCATGAGCTGTTTCCTGGGGATGTGTAGTAATTATGATAGGAGAAAATACGTCGAGTCAGTACATTAGACTAATGATATTTAAGAAGGCAGAGACCAAGAGCTAACAGCTCGATCCTGCAGACACATATAGTAAATACAGAGACGAAAACCTAATCAGAAACAAAGCATTGCTTTGTTTTTGTTTCAAAACACAAACAAATCAACACGTAATAGATTTACTCTCCGTTTACATTAGTAGAAACATTTGTGTAAGGAAGACCATAAGAAGAGTTTATGGACCACGGTCTGAGGTGGTTGTGTGTCAACACCATTGTCTGAGGTGGGTGTGTGTCAACACCACGGTCTGAGGTGGTTGTGCGTCAACACCACGGTCTGAGGTGGGTGTGTGTCAACACCACGGTCTGAGGTGGTTGTGTCAACACCACGGTCTGAGGTGGTTGTGTCAACACCACGGTCTGAGGTGGGTGTGTGTCAACACCACGGTCTGAGGTGGTTGTGTCAACACCACGGTCTGAGGTGGGTGTGTGTCAACACCACGGTCTGAGGTGGTTGTGTCAACACCACGGTCTGAGGTGGTTGTGTGTCAACACCACGGTCTAAGGTGGGTGTGTGTTAACACCATGGTCTGAGGTGGTTGTGTGTTAACACCATGGTCTGAGGTGGGTGTGTGTCAACACCACGGTCTGAGGTGGTTGTGTCAACACCACGGTCTGAGGTGGTTGTGTCAACACCACGGTCTGAGGTGGTTGTGTCAACACCACGGTCTGAGGTGGGTGTGTGTCAACACCACGGTCTGAGGTGGTTGTGTCAACACCACGGTCTTAGGTGGTTGTGTCAACACCACGGTCTGAGGTGGTTGTGTCAACACCACGGTCTGAGGTGGTTGTGTGTCAACACCATGGTCTTAGGTGGTTGTGTCAACACCACGGTCTGAGGTGGTTGTGTGTCAACACCACGGTCTAAGGTGGGTGTGTGTTAACACCATGGTCTGAGGTGGTTGTCTGTTAACACCATGGTCTGAGGTGGGTGTGTGTCAACACCACGGTCTTAGGTGGTTGTGTCAACACCACGGTCTGAGGTGGGTGTGTGTCAACACCACGGTCTGAGGTGGTTGTGTGTTAACACCATGGTCTGAGGTGGGTGTGTGTCAACACCACGGTCTTAGGTGGTTGTGTCAACACCACGGTCTGAGGTGGTTGTGTGTCAACACCATGGTCTTAGGTGGTTGTGTGTCAACACCACGGTCTGAGGTGGGTGTGTGTCAACACCACGGTCTTAGGTGGTTGTGTCAACACCACGGTCTAAGGTAGTTGTGTCAACACCACGGTTTATAGGTGGTTGTGTCAACATCACGGTCTGAGGTGGTTGTGTCAACACCACGGTCTGAGGTGGGTGTGTGTCAACACCACGGTCTGAGGTGGGTGTGTGTCAACACCACGGTCTGATGTCTTGACACATCGTCAAAAGTTCAAGAACATCTTCACCCAGGAAAATATTTTAATGTACAAAATTAAACTGAACTCGCAAAAATGCTTAAAAATAATTAGGAAACGTTTAAACTTCAACTATGCAACCTACTTATTTTTTTTTTGTTCTTTAACCGCGTAGTAGAGATATGAAAGATCCTGACAATCACATAATTCAAAGCAATAACTTCTGTATTCTTTGCAAGAGATAAGATCAATGTCTACGTGCTATATACTGTTTTTGTGTCATGTAATTAATATATTGTACAGATGTAAACTCCCAACTATAAATCTACTACCTTTTATGAATAAAACTTTTTATTTGACTAGAGAAGCACTTCTCTGGAAATCAGTATCCAACAGTATTTGTGCTTCAATAAAATTGTCATGAACAAACGTTCTAGTTCTGATGTAATTATCTGTTGTTGCTCGAATTCCTTTTTAAGTTTCACTGAGGTAGAAAACACGATGCTTAAGCTCACCACAGCTGCCCTAACAGATTTAGTTGTGTTCCTTGCAGCTCATACCTTACATAAAATTCTATAAGCTAGTGTTATGTAGGCTGTGTTAGTTTCATTTAATGAAATGTGTTTTGCCAATATAAGTCTCACGACTTGTTTGCTGCTGCTCCAGCTGTACACCTGTTCACTCCTGCTACAGCTGTACCTCTACTCACTCCAGCCACAGCTGTACCTATGTTCACTCCAGCTACAGCTGTACCTATGTTCACTCCAGCCATAACAGTGCCTATGTTCACTCCAGCTACAGCTGTACCTCTACTCACTCCAGCCACAGCTGTACCTATGTTCACTCCAGCCACAGCTGTACCTATGTTCACTCCAGCCATAACAGTGCCTATGTTCACTCCAGCCACAGCTGTACCTCTGTTCTCTCCAGCTACGGCTGTACACCTGTTCACTCCAGCCACAACTGTACCTATGTTCACTCCAGTCACAGCTGTACCTCTACTCAATCCAGCCACAGCTGTATCTATGTTCACTCCAGCCACAACTGTATCTCTGTTCACTCCAGCCACAGCTGTACCTCTGTTCACTCTAGCCACAGCTGTACCTCTACTCACTCCAGCCACAGCTGTATCTATGTTCACTCCAGCTACAGCTGTACCTCTACTCACTCCAGCCACAGCTGTACCTCTGTTCATTCCAGCCACAGCTGTACCTCTGTTCACTCTAGCCACAGCTGTACCTCTGTTCACTCTAGCCACAGCTGTACCTCTGTTCACTCTAGCCACAGCTGTACACCTGTTCCCTATAGCCACAAATTGCAATGATCTTTATAAATAAATTACGAATTAAAAAAAATCAATCAACCAGTCAATAAATCAACCAATAAAAACAGTCACAAGTTATTCAAAACAATAATAATGTTTTATGTTCCTTTCTTTCTTATAAACAAAAACTTCTTCACATTTACTTGAAACATAAGATGTTAAATAATTAAACAGAGCACTCGGCTGAAATCATAAATTTCTACTTGCATTGCACTGAAACTGAATAATATAATCAGGCAGTTATGAAACCTGAATCAAGTGTTAAAATTGGTTTTTGGAATAATATGATCTTGTTTAAAACAAATATAAAAAAAATTGTGCCTTAAAGCTCTTTACAGAGGGAAATTAACCTGCTCAAAGTTGTACCTTGCTCGGGCGTTAGATCATTTACTTTGTAGCAGTAATGAAACTGTTGTATTTTGTGATGACTGATGTCATTACAGCACGATTATCCAGGTTAGAGAAAGGCCTTCAGGTTGCCCTCTTGTTACAGATATGTATTTACTTTTGTGAATGTTATTTCATAGATGAAAAAGTATTATTTTAGATTTAATCTCAGATTAAATATTAAATTTTTGTGTGTGTAAATTGAACAAATTTTATTGTATACCTTTATTTTTTAATGTATTTCTCATTCAATATGAAAAATATATGTATGAAAAAATATATATAATATATTTTTATGTATTAAATTTATTGTAACTGAAATTGAATTTTTCATTTGTATTTCATCTGTAAGTTTAATTCAAAATAAAAAGTGATTGATATGTTAGTGCTAAAAAAAAAGCACTCGTATGGGAAGACACAGAATGCCATTATCTGGGTCTGCCATTATCTGGGTCTGCCATTATCTGGGTCTGCCATTATCTGGGTCTGTCATTATCTGCCATTATTCTGTACATAAATGTACAGAATAACTATAATTCTATAACTGAAGAAACACACTTAAATAAGTATTGGTATTCGGGAACCGTCAAACTCAGTAAAAGAATTATTGATATAGCTTTTCATGAAACAATTACCTTATTCAGACGTAACTGGAAAATAGTGCCCCGCAAGGCGCTGATTTGGAGAACTGCACGTGTGGGGAAACAACCCCTCCAGAAAAATATTCCTAGAAGTGATTAGGTAATGGAGAAATACACTAGTCTGTGATAAATGTAAGTCAGCGAAGGATTTCCAATGGATATGTTATCAGCAGAGGCGTTGAGGTGTGTGACATAGCCAGGGGGGACACAGGTGATTTGATAGCGCCTCAAGGTCAAGCCAATGTTGTGTACGAGGACCGCATCGAGAATGTTTGTAGTGGGAATAAACGAAATCTCTGGGAAAATTTATACTGCTGTAAGTGCTGCGAGTGGGATAACCCAAGATTGTATGGAGCAATTCTTGTTTTGAATGTGTAAAATATTGAATATTTGTCCATGCAATGTTCAAATATTAAATCTCAATTATCTACATTTGTCTATTCATAAGTTCAATCTCAATGACAGGTGCATGTCTAAAATTTAGAGAATATGGTACTCAATCTAGTATTTTTTAGATATAAAAATCACATGTCACCTAATATCAATCGCAATCACCTCACCTCAGTCACCTAATATCAATATCAAGTACGCTGCGCGTACTAGTGGCTTTACAAGATTGTAAATACCTATGTATTCTCTCAAACCCAATGTACCTTCTTGTATATAAATAAATAAATAAATAAATTCGCATGATACATTAGTAAATCTTTATTTACTTGAAAAAGACTGTTGATCTTGCTAATAGATCCGTTATACTGCATGAAGCTCCTGAAATAAAGACAGGAAATCAATTGTTATACTTGTTGCAAAGTTAGGACAAAGTTATCTTTCCAAGAGAAACATCTCAGCACTGTTCCAATGGCGCAAAAGTGAAGCTAAATTAATTCAACTCGGGATTCATCAAGAGGTGGAGCTTTGAGTCCCACTTAAAACAATCCGAACAACACTACACCGCTGTTGTACTCTGGTGTATAAATATTCCCCTCAATACTAGTGCTATAATAAATGATTTTATATAATCAAACAAATCAAATCCCCAAAACGTAACATTAGGCTATCTATGTAGATGGTGTCTTTGAACATTGTTAGGTGCAAACTATTTTATATAGCACATAAACAGCCGGCAAAGGCCTTAGTATCAGCCATCAAACAAACAAAAATTTGATGCTTAACAGGTTGATTAAGAAAAGAGAATCACCAAAACTAATGATTGATTACATACATTTAGCAGTCCCCCGTGGCATAGTGGTAAGACGCTCGCCTGGCGCTTCTTGAGCGCTTTGTCCTGGGTTCGTATCCTGGCCGGGGAGGATTTACTGGGCGTAAATCCTTAACTGTAGCCTCTGTTTAACCAACAGTAAAATGGGTACCTGGTTCTTAAACGATCAGGCGGGTCGTATTCCAGGGAACATAGGAGTAAGGACTTGACCGAAACGCTATGCGTGCCTGTGACTGTACAAGAATGTAAGAACTCTTGTATATATATATAAATAAAAAATGAAAGAGAGAGAGAGAGAGAGAGAGAGAGAGAGAGAGAGAGAGAGAGAGAGAGAGAGAGAGAGAGAGAGAGAGAGAGAGAGAGAGAGAGAGAGAGAGAGAGAGAGAGAGAGAGAGAGAGAGAGAGAGAGAGAGAGAGAGAGAGAGAGAGAGAGAGAGAGAGAGAGAGAGAGAGAGAGAGAGAGAGAGAGAGAGAGAGAGAGAGAGAGAGAGAGAGAGAGAGAGAGAGAGAGAGAGAGAGAGAGAGAGAGAGAGAGAGAGAGAGAGAGAGAGAGAGAGAGAGAGAGAGAGAGAGAGAGAGAGAGAGAGAGAGAGAGAGAGAGAGAGAGAGAGAGAGAGAGAGAGAGAGAGAGAGAGAGAGAGAGAGAGAGAGCTTATCTTGAGAAATAAAGTTATCGATTCATCCTCATGTCATTAGTTTTACTATGATTAAGTCATTATCGATAATTAGTTTTACTTGCTGTATCCTAGAGGTACCTAGTGAATGGAAGACGCCTTCAACTTCACTAACCAAATTGTGTTTGCGGGGTGTGAGCTTCAGCTCCTCGGTCCCACCTCACAAGTTTCAATCCACTGGTGTAGAGGTTGTATGTTGACATTTCCATTTCCTCGGTCTTGACGTAGATATGTTGTTGGAAATTATTTACGTTGGATGGAGAAGCGTGAGACGAATAACATGTGTTCAAGCCACCTGTTTGTTGCCATATCTCTCCTGATTAGGTCATTGGGCGGGGCTTAAAGTGTGGTGGGAGGGGCTGTTATTTAGTATATAAATACCGATAAGGCAAGGCAAAAAGTACTCAAGTGATTTACAGGTTGGTCCTCAACAGGTTCACTGTTCAAGCCATTGAGAGCTCTCCTGAAATCGCCAAAACAAATCTATTAACTTTACTGAGGTTGCTTCTATAATTCAATATATAAACTGTTTTGCTAATTTGATTTATGGTGTAAATCTATATTTTCCAGAGCTTGACTGTGTCACACTGCTCGAGAACGTAGAACAGCGCCATGCTCAGATTTGTCACCTTCCTGGCTGTCACCCTTCTGGCGTCAGCGTCACCCGCCTCCCGCTGTACGTAACTTTGTTATTCATCTACGTTGTGTAGACGGACATTCCTGTGCCCGTCACTCACCCCTTTGTATAAGCTTACGCGACTGACTGTGCATATTATTCGCCACTTTGTGTAAGTGTACATGTCTGTGTACACCATTCGTCACTTTGTATAAGTTTCCTTGTCTGAATATGTACATCATTCGCCACTTTGTGTAAGTGAACTTGTCAAGCTGTAAGCATCGCTAATTATCTTGTGTCTTTCTGACTCCTCTAAGCTTTCAAATTATTATATTTTATCTTTATGTGTACAGGTATAAAACGTTTATATTTATAAATTACAATAACAAAGATATCAGAAGATATTAAATTTTCTAGATTACTAAAGCTCAACTATAATATAGATTTAAATATCGCCTAATTGAAGTTAAACATCGACATTAGTTATACAAGATGCATAATTTTACTAAAATTATATGAAAGGAAGAACACTGCGCCTGACAGTGTTCTTCATCTGAATATCTGTTGCTGACAGCTGAACCAAATCCTTCACAGCAGTACGGATCCTGGAGGGAGAACTGACGACGATTCTACAGGAGGCGCTGGCGCCCTACGACCCATTAACCATCCAGAGCCTCACGGACGTTCATGTTGTCACAAACGACGCTGAGTAATGTCTTGCTTATACAGTTTTCCACCCTATCACGCCAGTCGTCACCTTGCCTTACGATCCCACATCTACTTCAGTTGTCACCTTGCCTTACGACTCCCACACCTGCTACAGTCATTACCTTGCCACACTACCCCACACCTGCCACAGTCGTCACCTTGTCACACTACTCCACACCTGCCACAGTCATCAATTTCCTACACAAACTTCCACAATCATCGTAGCAAAAACTTTTCAAATTGAAAGACTAGACACAAAAAAAATTCTAATACAATGTCAAAACTGGTTAACGGAATGAGGCTTCTGTAGTCACAGGAATAAGTGTTCATTTGAAGTTTCAGACCCATGAATTACGCCGCCCTCATTTCGAACACGTGGTCTGATGTCATATTTAGGTATTCATCGCCTGACAATGCAATTTAGGGCTTTGCAACACTTTGCAATATGGAATAATAACCCACTATTTAGGAAACGAAAGAAAAATTGACTGGATAGATCGTTCCCAAAACGGGATTCCTTTCCACATCTGTGATCGAAATGCCGAGAGTAATGAGACCATGTAGTGGGATCGAACCCCTGTCCCTACACTTTCCTGACAAAATAAATACGTTGTTTGCCTTGAATTAGAAGAACAGAAGGTGTATCCAATAATGAACTCGGTAATTAATTAATATTTCTTATTTATTTAATACTTTTTTATTATTTAATAAATGATTTAATTAATTATTATTATTAAATAATTTAATAATATTAAAATTATATAATAATTTATTATTATTTAAATTATTTAATAATTTAATATGATTTAAATTATTTAATAATTTAAACAAATATATTTTTTAATAATTTAATATTTAACTTATTTAATAATTGAATATTATTTAAATTATTTATTATTTTAACTATTCAGTTTTAATTTATTTATTTATTATTATTATTATTATTATTATTATTATTATTATTATTATTATTATTATTAACTATTTAATAATTCTCCCCAATAATTATGGGAAGAAATATATGAATATATAGCACACTGTTGTCTACACAGGTTACAATTATAACCTCCCCCCCCCCCTCCGCCACTCCTTTCAGAAAACCAGGTGATTGTTCTCTAACTCAAAACCTGAAGATATTACGTACAGAAATGGAAAATATTACATAATGTTACTAGAGCACTTCAGTATTCCAAGTCCACTTTAAATAAACCAGATATTCAACTTTAACTCTTCTTGAATTATAGTGCCAACACTCAAATAAATTTGTACTCATTAACAGTTTAATTTTGTCTCGTTTTTCCGCAGCGTTCTCTACAATGCTGTCAACACAGCCGTCACTGGCTTGTCTCAGATTGTGGTCAACAACTTCTCCCCGCCCATCCCACTCATCTCTAAAGCGGTATGTACTGCAGCTCAATAACCATTATTACTTTATGTTTTGTTTATAGTTGACCAGACCACACACTAGAAGGTGAAGGGACGACGACGTTTCGGTCCGTCCTGGACCATCGTTTTGTTGTAACACCCATGACCTTCCCCCCCTTAGAGTTCACACTCCATGGATCTTCCCCTTTTGGCCAGGTCAGAGGTCAGTCACACACGTAATTAATAACTCCTCTCTTGAAGAGTGTATGGTGAATGTCAAACAAGCTTATTGAAATATTTCTTGAGTGTTTGTACACGTGTGGCCGATCTCTTACATTCTTGGTGTAGGTAGCAACAGCAGATCTCCCCCCTCCCCCCTGTGGGGGTTGTATATAGAGGTCCTGTAGGGACTTAGTAAGGACAGAGTGCCAGACACCGGGGCCCAGAGAGGTTGTGGAGAACATCAGGAGGTGACAGAAGGAGAGACAGTGGTCTTAAGGTAATGTGTGTGATCTCTGAGGTTTTGTTCCATGTCCAAATTTCTTAACTTTTTGCCAGTGTTAGAGTAGGATTTATAAGTGGTGATAAACATAATTTTGGTCTCAATAAACTTATGTTAAATTTCCCGTCTGTGTCAATTGTTGAATCCTCTTAGCCTTTTGGATATAGTGGCTGACAACCATTTTCATAATTTAATGACAGTCATAGAAAGTACTCTCCAAGTCAAGCAATGTTTCTTGCCTCGTTGCTTGATATAGTCTCAATGGTCAAAGGCAGATGGTGGCAGCGTATTTAACCCTGGGTTAGCATTTCCTTGTTGGCAATGTACCTTTGGTTCCGGTGTAACCATCATATGTCAGCTCATAACAGTGTTATCAAGTGCAACCGATGGGGAAGTGTTACTCAGGATAAGTAGTGTTTACATTATTAGTTTAGTGTTCCATTATAGTGGTGTTCCATTATAGTGGTGTTACAATTGGTGGTGTTACATTGTTTATATTTAAGATATGATTATACATAATTCATGTACAACCACCTGGATTGGTTTTTAGAGAGACAGCCTCCCTCTTGATGGTCAAAATGGTTGGGCAGTGTTCATTCACTTTGTCCTTTTATCCCTTCTTAGTGTCATGTCTGACAACAACGGTCGGTGGAGGTAAACTGATTGGGTTCTATTCCATACAGTTTCATTATTTGTTTACTGACATGCAAAACGCATGCTGCAATAACAGATTTGCAATTTGTACCGAGAGATTACTAACGGGATTAGTTGAATCCCCGACCGTCCAAGTGGTTGTGCACCGTTCCTTCCTCCCCCCCCCCCGTTCCATCCCAAGTCCTAATCATGATAACTTCCTGGTGCTAAATAGTCGCAGTTGCTTAGCACTCTTTCCTGATAGTTCGCTTCCCTTCCAGCAACTGCACCTCGAGAGGTTACAATCACCAAGAACTGCGTCACGGAAACTCATCATCGTCTCATGGTGCTCATCATCCATCAAAACTCATATTTCACACTTATTGGTTCTTATGTTCTAAAAACTTTTCCTCCCATAAGTATGACACATTCACACATCTAACACTCCTTCCTAAAATCTTTCACCATTCTCTCGATCAATCCTCCTATAACCCAATAGTCAGAAGTCTATCACTCCAAGTGGTTAAAGTGACGCCTTATTGTAGGTGACCATTGAGGCGACAGTCACAATCGACGCTCACTCGGACGACTACTCCATCGCCGGCACCTTCCAGGGAGCAGACATCGCTGCCTCTGGCGTATCAGAGTAAGTTTGACTCGCGGGTTGGCCTCGATGTCCCTTCACAGTTGATAGAAATTTACCATTAACCATTTGTACTTCATATATTTATATGAATATTGGTATTTCAATATTTTTAAATTTGGTATTTCATATATTTATTTTGCACTTCAGTTGTTTATTATCACATTTTTGCAAACTTTTCCGCAGCGATTCTGGATCCTAACAGTTTCCTTTAATTTTGTATGTTCAGACAATCGATAAGTGAATTTTTAATTGTCTCTTAACCTTTGTTATGCCAACAGTTTGACTTTCTAACCTGTGTATTGCCAACAGTTTGAGGTTGAACGGGCTTGACATCACCATCCACTTTAAGGCTGACAGCTATTCTTTGCTCCCCATTTCATTGTGCGTCAAGGAAGGCTCCCTGTCAATCAAATTAAGCGTGGTTTCCGTCGAGGTAAGTAGAACTAGAACCTCCTTGTCGGGAAAGAGGGATTGTGAGGTGAAAGCGTTGGAAATGAAAGACAGTGATAATATCCTTATCCTTTAATATCCTATAAAAAGGTAAACGAACCCTTTTCTTGTGTACAAGATGTGTTAAAGTAAATCCATTATTAAAATAGCTGTAAAGGCAGCTGCTTATGTCCACGATATTCACCACTTGGCTGGTATCATGTTGAGTACATGTGTTGATGAGTTGGAACGATCACTAGTGGAAAATGTGAATTCTCAGGGCGAAGTATACATGGTTGTTGGGGAATCACTGGTGGAGCCAACTCCACATAGTTTTTTAGGAGCTCAGTCCATACAGGCATCGTTGATGGAGCTGAGTCCACACGGGGTGTTGGGGCATCAATAATAGAGTATTACAGTCCTTAATGATGCTGGTTCTCACTCATTACCTTATCTGTTGTTGCAGTCTGCACTGGAAGGAGCCGGTGGCATCAATGACGAAATCGAGGCCAACGGTCCAGCCGTTCTGGAGCTGATCGCAAACAAGTTTAACGAAAACTCCGCCGAAATCGAGACTCTTATCAACAATGCTCTCTGCGTTTGATAAGGACGTATCCAAATGACAAATGATGCCTGACATTATCCATTTATTTTGATAATTTTGGCTACATAATCTCTATTCTATTTAAAACGGGTGTTTCATTATGTAAACGAAGTGGTTTGGTTTATCGACAAAATCTTATGAATATTTGTACTATTAATGTACCTACAAAACAATTCGTTATAATTTATCATTAAAATATAGGAAAGTTACATGATTCTGTAGCAAAATTTCAAAGGAAATGGATAGGAACATGACAAATTTTGGTGATAATAGTGCAACCCGTCCTCTTTCAAATATCGTCGCTTCTCGCTCGTATGCGCTACAGCCAAAAATTGCCGTACTAGTGAATGAAAATTCATTTTTCAAATGAAATGGACCCAAAGCCGCAAGTTTTGGGTACTCTAGTAGGTTAGGAGAGCAGCAAGTTCTCCTACGGTTTCAAAACGTTATGAAAACTCATATTTATGTATGAGTTTTCTAAAATATATCATATATATTTTATGATATATTTAGAGTTTCTAAATATATGATATATATTTAGTCCTCTCCTAACCTAAAATCTAGACTAAGCCAGAAGACCCAAAACAGAAAAATGGAGAGTACGTCACTTTCGCGAGCCGCTTTCATTTTCTCGTATGACAATTTTTAGCTTTAGTGTGCATAAGAGCGAAAAGCGATGTTATTTGTTAGAGGACGGGTTGATTAGTGAGAGTTCACTACTTTAAGAGGAACGCTCAAAGTTAATTTTCACAATGATGTCATAAGAATTATCTAAAACATCTTCCAACCAAAATAATTATAAACTCTGACATGACTAGGTAATGGGCAGACTATCTTGTTTGACATTACCTTAAAATAAATGAATATACATTTGTTAGTCTTTTGTACTCCTGTTTAATAATAGTTCAGTACCGGGGTCGTCAGATGGGACCTTGGTGCTGAATGAGATTTTGTGGACTGACTGAAAAGCGTTTGTTGAATCCACGAAAATAACTTGATTTGCGGTTGGTATTAAGGCTTCCCAACCTCTGGAGGGTTAATAAAGTCACCACATGATCTTAACACAAAGTATATTTTTGTCCTGAACATAGTTAAGAACAAAATTATACTCTCAGTATATGTACACAGAGAAATGGAGGGGTATACTTCTCTGTGTGTATACATCAGTGTCGACCAGAAGCTCAGGAAGCTCTTCAAGCTCCGGGTCTAGTCGACCGGGTGTTACAGGTGGAATATAAAACATATTTAAAAGTGAAATTTAAAGGCAACTTGTGATTTCGTGAAGGAATTTTACAATTATAACGTGGAAAGGGCCTATACAAGAACGTTGGACCTATATACAAGGGTAATTACACTGTTAACGAGAACTCCGTTACACCTGCTTCCCCACCTAGCTCCCACTACTACCACTTCCATCCTACTATCTACCACCAACTGTTAATGACTATGCTTGAGGCCTTAGCAAACATTAATATAATTTGCCTGCCATCACGTGCATAATTAAACTTTGTTGCTTATTCTAAGATGCGCCGTTGGAATAGTTATGTTCATTTCGCCTTCAACATCTGTTTATGTTAGTGTTTATATAAGGATAATTAGATATTCATAATAACCAATAGGTTGCAATCTTACAAGTACAGCACATTAATTTCATAAGAGCCACAATAACACAATAGCAAGTAGGCATAGTCATTATCAGAATGAGAAACTGAATTGGTTATAACTTATATAAATTGGTTTAGAGCTGGCCAGTCTAAACAGATGTTTAACATTCTAAATGTAGAGGTACATTTTGTGCACAGAGCGACGTTTAGCAAGATTTAGAAAGATGGTATATTGAAAAGACTCAATATATATATCACACAGTTCGGATAATGAGACAATTAGCTGTAGAACTAATATATTAAAAACTAATTATTCTATGATTTTATATATCTAGCTGCAAACCCTCAACTTCCTACATCAACAGATTATGTGACTATCTCGTTTCAAATTACTACACACACACACACACACACACATCACTACTCCACAGTCACATCAGAAGGAAAACAACAGTGAAAGAACAGGTATTGAAACTTAGAACAGGCGAGGACAGGTATACAGAGAATGACAGAGAGGTGTGTGAGGAACTCAACAAGAGGTTCCAGGAGGTCTTCACAATAGAACAGGGTGAGGTCACTGTGCTAGGAGAAAGGGAGATAAACCAGGCGGCCTTGGAGGAGTTCGAAATTACGAGAGAGGAGGTCAAGAGACACCTGCTGGATCTGGATGTTAGAAAGGCGGTTGGTCCAGATGGGATCTCACCATGGGTACTGAAAGAGTGTGCAGAGGCACTTTGCTTGCCACTCTCCATAGTGTATAGTAAATCACTAGAGACGGGAGACCTACCAGAAATATGGAAGACGGCGAATGTGGTCCCAATATACAAAAAGGGCGACAGACAAGAGGCACTGAACTACAGGCCAGTGTCCTTGACTTGTATACCATGCAAGGTGATGGAGAAGATCGTGAGAAAAAACCTGGTAACACATCTGGAGAGAAGGGACTTCGTGACAAATCGCCAACATGGATTCAGGGAGGGTAAATCTTGCCTTACAGGCTTGATAGAATTCTACGATCAGGTGACACAGATTAAGCAAGAAAGAGAGGGCTGGGCGGACTGCATTTTCTTGGATTGTCGGAAAGCCTTTGACACAGTACCGCATAAGAGGCTGGTACATAAGCTGGAGAGACAGGCAGGTGTAGCTGGTAAGGTGCTCCAGTGGATAAGGGAGTATCTAAGCAATAGGAAGCAGAGAGTTACGGTGAGGGGTGAGACCTCCGATTGGCGTGAAGTCACCAGTGGAGTCCCACAGGGCTCTGTACTCGGTCCTATCTTGTTTCTGATATATGTAAATGATCTCCCGGAGGGTATCGATTCATTTCTCTCAATGTTTGCGGACGATGCTAAAATTATGAGAAGGATTAAAACAGAAGAGGACTGTTTGAGGCTTCAAGAAGACCTAGACAAGCTGAAGGAATGGTCGAACAAATGGTTGTTAGAGTTTAACCCAACCAAATGTAATGTAATGAAGATAGGTGTAGGGAGCAGGAGGCCAGATACAAGGTATCATCTAGGAGAGGAAATTCTTCAGGAGTCAGAGAAGGAAAAAGACTTGGGGGTTGATATCACGCCAGACCTGTCTCCTGCAGCACATATCAAGCGGATAACATCAGCGGCATATGCCAGGCTGGCCAACATACGAACGGCATTCAGAAACTTGTGTAAAGAATCATTCAGAACTTTGTATACCACATATGTCAGGCCAATCCTGGAGTATGCAGCCCCAGCATGGAGTCCATATCTAGTCAAGGATAAGACTAAACTGGAAAAGGTTCAAAGGTTTGCCACCAGACTAGTACCCGAGCTGAGAGGTATGAGCTACGAGGAGAGACTACGGGAATTAAACCTCACTTCGCTGGAAGACAGAAGAGTTAGGGGGGACATGATCACCACATTCAAGATTCTGAAGGGGATTGATAGGGTAGATAAAGACAGTCTATTTAACACAAGGGGAACACGCACAAGGGGACACAGGTGGAAACTGAGTGCCCAAATGAGCCACAGAGATATTAGAAAGAACTTTTTTAGTGTCAGAGTGGTTGACAAATGGAATGCATTAGGGGGTGATGTGGTGGAGGCTCACTCCATACACAGTTTCAAGTGTAGATATGACAGAGCCCGATAGGCTCAGGAATCTGTACACCTGTTGATTGACTGTTCAGAGGCGGGACCAAAGAGCCAGAGCTCAACCCCCACAAGCACAACTAGGTGAGTACAACTAGGTGAGTACACACACACACACACACACACACACACACACACACACACACACACACACACACACACACACACACACACACACACACACACACACACACACACACACACACACACACACACACACACACACACACACACACACACAGCCTGTCCCCAGCCTGGGGGTTGATATCACACCGAACCTGTCCCCAGAGGCCCACATCAAAAGAATATCATCAGCGGCGTATGCTAGACTGGCCAACATAAGAACTGCCTTCAGAAACTTGTGTAAAGAATCTTTCAGAACCCTGTATACCACTTATGTAAGACCAATCCTGGAGTATGCAGCTCCAGCCTGGAGTCCATACCTAGTTAAACACAAGACAAAGTTAGAGAAGATTCAGCGGTATGCCACCAAGCTCGTCCCGGAACTGAGAGGATTGAGCTACGAGGAAAGGCTAAAGGAGCTGAACCTCACATCCCTGGAAAACAGAAGAGTAAGGGGAGACATGATAACCACCTACAAAATTCTCAGGGGAATTGACAGGGTGGACAAAGACAAACTCTTCAGCACGGGTGGGACACGAACAAGGGGACACAGGTGGAAACTTAGTACCCAGATGAGCCACAGAGACGTTAGAAAGAATTTTTTCAGTGTCAGAGTAGTTAATAAATGGAATGCACTAGGAAGTGATGTGGTGGAGGCTGACTCCATACACAGTTTCAAATGTAGGTATGATAGAGCCCAGTAGGCTCAGGAATCTGTACACCAGTTGATTGACAGTTGAGAGGCGGGACCAAAGAGCCAAAGCTCAACCCCCGCAAGCACAATTAGGTGAGTACAATTAGGTGAGTACACACACACACACACACACACACACACACACACACACACACAGGGGGCCTCGTAGCCTGGTGGATAGCGCGCAGGACTCGTAATTCTGTGGCGCGGGTTCGATTCCCGCACGAGGCAGAAACAAATGGGCAAAGTTTCTTTCACCCTAAGTGCCCCTGTTACCTAGCAGTAAATAGGTACCTGGTAGTTAGTCAGCTGTCACGGGCTGCTTCCTGGGGTGTGTGTGGTGTGGAAAAAAAAAAAAAAAAAAAAAGGTAGTTAGTAAACAGTTGATTGACAGTTGAGAGGCGGGCCGAAAGAGCAAAGCTCAACCCCCGCAAAAAACACAACTAGTAAACACACACACACACACACACACACACACACACAGAGGCACGCACACACACACACACACACACACACACACACACACACACACACACACACACACACACACACACACACACACACACACACACACACACACACACACACACACACACACACACACACACACACATACACACAGGAATGGAATCATACATGTCAATGTTTGCGGATGACGCAAAATTAATGAGAAGAGTTGTGACGGACGAGGATTGTAGGATCCTCCAAGAGGACTTAAACAGGCTGCAGAGATGGTCAGGGAAATGGCTACTGGAGTTTAACACCAGTAAATGTAAAGTTATGGAAATGGGATCAGGTGACAGGAGATCAAAGGGACAGTACACAATGAAGGGGAACAGCCTACCTGTAACGATTCGAGAAAGAGACCTGGGAGTGGATGTGACACCTAATCTAACTCCTGAGGCACATATAAATAGGATAACGACAGCAGCGTACTCTACACTGGCGAAAATTAGAACTTCATTCAGAAACCTAAATGAGGAGGCTTTTAGGGCGCTTTACACTGCCTACGTGAGACCCGTCTTAGAGTATGCCGCGCCATCATGGAGCCCCCACCTGAAGAAACACATAAAGAAACTGGAGAAGGTTCAGAGATTTGTGACGAGGCTTGTCCCAGAGTTACGAGGGATGGGATATGAAGAGCAGCTGAAGGAACTGAACCTTACGACACTAGAGAAAAGAAGGGAGAGAGGAGATATGATAGGGACATATAAAATACTCAGGGGAATTGAAAAAGTGGAAATAGATGAAATGTTCACACGTAATAATAACAGAACGAGGGGACATGGGTGGAAACTGGAAACTCAGATGAGTCACAGAGATGTT